GATGGCCTAGAAAGCGAAGGAAGTTTTGATAACGAATAAATATGTTCATAATCATGGGCTTTATTTTTAATATAGACCTTGAAATCGGACATTACTTCCGGACCAACCTGATACAAGTAAGCATTTGAATTTCTTGCTATTGCCAGTTTAATTCAATCATTTTACATTTAACCTTTATCACTACATTATTTTATAAGTATTACTTCTCCTTCCACTATATATGATGACTTTTCAAATACAAACTGAAGTAGTCCTGTCCTGGTTATGGCGATAAACTACATTCGATAGCAAGGCCTCTGATCAGGAGGTTTTTGGGGAGCGTGGAACCATCTCTTAATTGCTGGTATTTTCAGGTTGTTTTAGAGTGAACGCAAAGTTTGTTTTTTTTTCGTATGAATCCAAAATACGTTCGTCGCCAAGTGTTGTATATGGCGAAACGAATTTTTTTTTTCTTTCTTTAAAATTTTTTTTTCGTATGAATTTCGAATTCTGGTCGCCAATGTGTTGTTATAGAGTGAACGAAAAATTTTCTTCTGTATGAATTACAAATCCCTCGTCGCCAATGTGTTGTAGAGTAGTTTTCACAGTGGAGGCATGTATTTCGCTAAGTCGGTCCTAAAAGGGTCCGACGTACAAAACGTTAGGAACTTGAAATAAGAGTTAATGATGCAGCAATCTAGTTGTGATGGTTGATACTTCAATGTCCGACATCGACTGACTCACTCAACTGAGCTCAACTGGCGACTGCTACTACTAATTATGTGTGGGAGAGTCTATTAATAATAGAATAGGTACGTTCAGGTATAACACAGGTCCACCCTGTCCCAGGGTGGTAACACCTGTTAGGGTCCCAGCTATGGGCAAACAGTTAGCCCCTAAACTGGGGTTAAAGCACTTTTAATACCATCAGTACATTTTTGTAAAAAATTACCGGCAATGAATTTTTGAAGAAAATAATTATTACCAGCAATACATTTTTGGAGAAAAAAAATTACCAGTAACACATCTTTGAAAAATATATTACCAGCAATAAAAATGTTGTTGGCATTAAATAACCCATTGAGGTTGATTTGACGTAAAACATATCAAACCAAAACAAAACAAACTAACGTATCCTTGATCTTGATTTAAATCAAAGCCGTTTTTGTTGTTGCTATAGCAGGACGTGATAACACAAACGTGAAATCTAAATATACTGTTATTTGGCAATTGGAGGCAACTGTAATTGCAGAACAAATGCTTTCCTTGGTAAATGAAGTTGCCTAAAGAGCATTTATGGTTAATAATAATTTAATGAAAGTTTCTAACAGCTGTTGATGTTGTAGAGATACATAATTGGTCATAGGTTTATTATTGACACTATTTACATTATTATTCATCTTTGTCGCCATATTTATTCCAACGTTTCGGCCGTTGTACGCTCCGGCTTTCTTCAGGTGGTTGGAATGTCGAACTAAACCCTTTATTTTGTTTACTGGATAGACTGTACTAGTTCCACGTGCCATGTTTAATGCATGTCAGAATTATCACCTGTTAATTCCCCTCTCCAAGTTGTCCACTGCCTTAACCGGATATTGAACACACAACTCTTTGGGTCCTGTCATTGGATCTAACCAACGCCTTTATCCACTGTGCCATGTGTCCTTTATCATTGAATTGTTATTATCTTTTCTTGGTTCAGCAAAAAGCATGATCCGGCACTGTTCTGGAACCAAGAGTGCCTGAAAAACGGTGGTATATCTGTTTTGATACTTACTAAACTTTAGCTTGATAGAGATGCAGTTGACCTAATGAATCCTATGATCAGAGTTCTAACTCCAGCTGAGACAATTTATATTCTCTTTGTAATAGAGCTCTTCAGAAAGGCATGACTTCATTATTCCCCCCAACTATAAATATAAGGGCAGGTAAATCTCTGGAAGGCATTAGATTATAATAAAAATTGTCTTGCGGATGAAAACCACATGGTGTGCTTGCAGCACTCCCCGTGTTCAACTAGGAATATATACAGTACAGTTCAAAAGTTTGAGGCAATCTCCAGAATTAGGATGGGATGAACTTGACAGAAGAATAAAAAAAAATAATAATAAAAAAGAGCACAGAGTCACCGAAAATAGAATGAAATTAATTATCAAATCTATACTTTTTTGCCAAAAAATTTGTGCTGCAGTAATCAAGACTAAAGGAGGATATTTTGACGAGAGCAAACTTTAATCATAAAGTGTTTTTCTTTCTTTCTGTCATAATAAAATTTCTAAAAATATCATGTCTCATCTTTTTAAACCATGTATAATAATTTTCTCTTATTTAAAGTACAAAGAACTACATATGGCGCCAATTTAAAAAAAATTACGATGGGTGGTCTCAAACTTAGTGAGACACATGAGCCAATAGAATTAAGGAGTAGAAAGAGTGTATAGTGTTAAATTGTCAAGTGAAAAAGTTTGTCCTGCTATTTAACCCATAGTTGGGGAGAAGAAATGGATCGATACCTTTCATAAGGGCATTAGTGCAAAGTGAACAAAATTCGAACTTGGCTTACCGATTTCTCTCCCCATGCCGATCGGCTGTCGCGAAACACACGCAAAATAAAAATTAAGAAAAATGCACAAATGCGTATTCTGATATGGCAAACCGATTTAATTAGGTTCCTTTAGTCTTTGTTGTTAGCCAGTATAGGAGAAGTTTGAATTCAAAACCGCTGAAAAAAACAACGGGAAACCAGTTTCTCTCTTTCTTATGAAGTCAGGACAATTCACAGAGAACAAAAGAAAGGAATGAATAAAGATCCATTATTACCTTTATAATAATCATGATTATAATTTTGAATATATTCTTAGAAGCCCAGAAAATTGTCTTGAAATGCACTATATGGATATTGTATTTATTTCTTTAAGTAATATGCTACTTCAAAATATGGGTGATCATGGCTTCCATTATTTAATACTAGCTTAAAGGGCGCTTTCCGTGCAATCTTTTAAGCTAAATCCTGTGGAGGGCTAATTGGGCATCCGGCTCAAAATTAAAGGGACCTTTGGTTCAGCTTAGAAAACATCAATGATATTTTTGAATTCTTCAATTCACTCCATGGAATTTCAAAACCTCACTTTAAATCTGATTTATGCTCTAAATCCAATTCCAGCCAAAAGATCGATTTGGATTGAAATTCTAATTCAGGCTGAAAACTGAGTTCTTGAAAACCTCATGTCAAGAAACCTCGCACTTTAATATTGATTCCTTGGCATTTTGAAGAAATAAAATTGGTTTCCTCAATTCACAAAGTTTTGAATTTAAAACAAATATATATAAATTCACAAAGAGGAGGGCTAAAACTAAATGAGACTCTGGTCCAGCTTAGAAAACAGCAATGATAATTTTGAAGTAGTAACTGAATTCGTCAATTCATTCATGGAATTTCAAAACCTCACTTTAAATCTGATTCGGGATATCAATCCAATTCCAGCCAAAAGACCGATTTGGGTGAAATTCCAATTCAAGCTGAAAACCAGAGTTTTTCAAAACCTCATGTTAAGAAATCTCGCACTTTAACATTGATTCCTTGGCATTTTGAAGATATTTTAAAGTGAATTTGAAACAGCTTTTTTTTAAATTCACAAATTTTTTGTTTCTTTAAGTTCAATATAAATTAAAGACTTAAAATTTGAATTTTCAACTATTCCTCTTCATCCAGATATAAATCCCAACGCTGCATGTTCAAGCACCAGATGAAGGACAGATTTTTAATCCCTCGATCATCCTGATTCTAAAAAAGTATAATATGTCTATTTAGGGCAAATATGGCCGGAGTTAGAGGGATTTCATTCACACAGACAGATAGATAGAATTTGCTGTTTATTTGGATAGATAGATTTAAACCAGGGATGTTCTTCCAAAAGAGGAGAATGGTTTCTTATTGTCTTTTCCAAGTCTACAATTCAGAATGATTCTTTTCCGTGACTGGTTTTCAAGGCGAGAGTACCCAATCAGTCGATTTAGTCCAAGAGTAATCAGAGAGAAAATTATTTAATGCGTCAAAGAATAAAAACACTGACATCTGTGTACCGAGATATTAGGTTGGTGCAAAATAATGACGTAATAATGTCGTTTTGTGACGCATTTTTAACGTCAAAAACGACATTATTACGTCATTATTTTTTGCACCAACCTAATATATGCAAACAATTATTGATTTCATCACCTTTGACAAATTATTTTTTAAATTAACTGCTGGAGTAAGAAGACTCAGAACAAAGATATTCCTGGCAAGATATTACATCGGCTATCTCTCTACAATTATTGCTCTCACTACTTGCATCTCATTCCAAATTGTTTTTCGGATTCACTGCCAGAGTAAAAAGAACCGAATAGAACATATTTTTGAAAGAAATAATTAAAAATTCATTTTTTTAAAAATAAATACACAGAAAATATGGCAGGAGTTGAACTCTAACAAAGCCAGCCAACCATTTTTTCTACTTACATTTATCAAATGCCCGGGTTGTTCCTTTGAGTACCTCTAGTGACACGGCAGCCACTATATCAGCCTGACGTGCGATAGCTTCAGCCCTTTCAAGTGCTGTCAAAAAATACCAAATTGAAACTTTTCTGAATATATTCATAAACAAAATGTTTTAAAACAGTTATTTTTGCTTATTTTTTAACATTCATTGTCGAATCAGCAAAAAGTTTTAGAATTTTATTTATTATTGTTTGGTTATCAGTTTAATCTATTATATATATTTTACTTTCAGGAATAGATCTTTTATTTATTAATCGAACATATTTTCATGAAAAATATCTGGATGAGAAAGGGCGCTTTCCTTAGAAGGGAATTTTCAGTCTAACTGAACAGCGACACTCTTTGTAGCTGAGCGGTAAAGCATGCCAGATCAGACAGCTGTTTCTCCTACAAATCAGGATGCTGGCTCAATCTCTATTGGAGAGCAAACTTTCTCTAGTAAAATTTCTCGAATGCTCAGACTGGTAGATGTAATACACATTCTTTAAAGTAAAAATAAAAGCCAGTCAGTTATGTGTCATGCGTGATACACGCTTAGACGATCATGTATCTTTCGATACATGACTGACGAGGCAGATTTTTTCCCGCAGTAGGCTGCCGTTTCTTTCTGCAGTAGACCAGTTGCCACCCAAGGCTATGGAACTCGGTCTTACCTACTTACCATAGCTGGGTGAAGAAGAAGATTCATACCTTTCCCGAGGGTATTAGCACGTAAGTGAATGCAATGGACAAGACTGGAATTCGAACTTGACTATCCGATTCCGCTGTAGGGCATCTATTTCAAATACGAGTATCTGCTAAATAACATCATTTAAAGTAATAGAAATATTGGATTAAAAATAAATTCATTAATTCTTTAGGAATTACTTTGTTCACATTTCAGATATGAAACAGAGCTGATATAGACTTTTGAGAAATATATCTATGTTTACATGTCTATATGTTGCAAAGATTCCAACAAGAAAAAGTATATTAAAGATTCACTAACCTTCAACACCAAGTGCAGCAATCATTTGTGCGCCATTTATTAGTGCAATACCCTGAAAAGAAAATTATAAATACTGAAATATTTTGCCTTGATAGGGATGATGATGATACATCTGTTGTATTCTTTTTGGCCAATACAAGTGCTGTAGATGAAGTGCTGTTGCATGAACTGTTAACCATTAAAAATAACCTGTTATGTTGCATGAGTGAAAATAGATATTATTTGCTGTTTTAAAATAACCATTAAATGATTAACCATCCATATTTGTCCTTGTTAGGCTATCCATTCACTCTATCGTTGCCATTCACAGGCTTTTGCCTTTATTGTCCTGTGATGTTAAATTCTCCATCCTTCTTTGTTGTTGTAAGTAACTTTATCCATTAACCTTTCTTTGTCCTTGTCGTATCCAACTCAAACTCGTTAAGTAGGTTACTCGCTGTTTCCCTCTGCTTCTCTTGCCTTCAATATGTCCTGTGAGTGTTAAATTCTCCATGCCTTCTTTCTTGTTGCTCTAAGTAACTTTTTTGACCCTTTACCTTTCTTCTTTGTCCTTGTTCTGTTATCCATTCACTCAAACTCGTTAAGTAGGTTACTCGCTGTTTCCCTCTGCTTCTTTTTTTGCCTTCAATATGTCCTGTGAGTGTTAAATTCTCCATGCCCTCTTTCTTGTTGCTCTAAGTAACTTTTGACCCTTTACCTTTCTTCTTTGTCCTTGTTCTGTTATCCATTCCTCAAACTCGTTAAGTAGGTTACTCGCTGTTTTCTGCTTCTTGCCTTCAATATGTCCTTGAGTGTTAAATCCATGTCCTCTTTCTTGAGTGTTAAATTTTGACCCTTTACCCTCTTCTTTGTTGCTGTTCTGTTATCCATTTTCAAACTCGTTAATTTAGGTTTGCTGTTTTCTTCTTTGTCAATATGTCCTGTTATCCATTTCTCTCAAACTCTCCTTCTTTGTAGTTCTGTTAAGTACACGTTAAGTAGGACAATATGTCCTGTGAGTGTTTTTTTCCCTCTTGTTGTCTCTTGTTCTTTTACCCAATATTCCTGTTGTATCCATTTTGCTGTTTCCCCCTCTGTCTCTTGCCTTCAATATACCCTGTTAAATTCTCCATGCCTTTCTTTCTTGTTGCTCTAAGTAACTTTTGACCCTTTACCTTCCTTCTTTTGTCCTTGTTCTGTTATCCATTCCTCAAACTCGTTAAGTAGGTTACTCGCTGTTTCCCTCTGCTTCTCTTGCCTTCAATATGTCCTGTGAGTGTTAAATTCTCCATGCCTTCTTTCTTGTTGCTCTAAGTAACTTTTGACCCTTTACCTTCCTTCTTTGTCCTTGTTCTGTTATCCATTCCTCAAACTCGTTAAGTAGGTTACTTGCTGTTTCCCTCTGCTTCTCTTGCCTTCAATATGTCCTGTGAGTGTTAAATTCTCCATGCCTTCTTTCTTGTTGCTCTAAGTAACTTTTGACCCTTTTACCTTCCTTCTTTGTCCTTGTTCTGTTATCCATTCACTCAAACTCGTTAAGTAGGTTACTCGCTGTTTCCCTCTGCTTCTCTTGCCTTCAATATGTCCTGTGAGTGTTAAATTCTCCATGCCCTTTCTTGTTGCTCTAAGTAACTTTTGACCCTTTACCTTTCTTCTTTGTCCTTGTTCTGTTATCCATTCCTCAAACTCGTTAAGTAGGTTACTCGCTGTTTCCCTCTGCTTCTCTTGCCTTCCAATATGTCCTGTTATTTTTCTTCCTTCTTTGTCCTTGTTAATCCATTCTCCAAACTCATAGGCCCTCTTTCTTGTTGCAATATGTCCTAAGTTAAAACTTTTGTTGCTCCTTTTGACCTTTACCTTCCTTCTTTGTCCTTGTTCTATTATCCATTCCCTCAAACTCGTTAAGTAGGTTACTCGCTGTTTCCCTCTGCTTCTCTTGCCTTCAATATGTCCTGTGAGTGTTAAATTCTCCATGCCCTCTTTCTTGTTGCTCTAAGTAACTTTTGACCCTTTACCTTCCTTCTTTGTCCTTGTTCTGCTATCCATTCCTCAAACTCGTTAAGTAGGTTACTTCTCGCTTGCTTCTCTTTCCCTTAAATTCTCCATGCTTCTCTTGCCTTTTCAATATGTTTTTTGTTTGTATGTTAAATTCTCCATTCCCTCTTTCTTGTTGCTCTAAGTAACTTTTGACCTTTTACCCTTCCTTCTTTGTCCTTGTTCTGTTATCCATTCATTCAAACTCGTTAAGTAGGTTACTCGCTGTTTCCCTCTGCTTCTCTTGCCTTCAATATGTCCTGTGAGTGTTAAATTCTCCATGCCCTCTTTCTTGTTGCTCTAAGTAACTTTTTGACCCTTTTTTACCTTCTTTGTCCCTTTATCCATTCAAACTCGTTAAGTAGGTTACTTTGTTTCCCTTGTTCTTGCCTTCATTATCCATTAAATTCTCCATGCCCTCTTTCTTGTTAAGTAACTTTTGACCCTTTACCTTCCTTCTTTGTCCTTGTTCTTTCAAACTCGTTGCTGTTTCTGCTTTTGCCTTCAATATGTCCTGTGAGTGTTAAATTCTCCATGCCCTCTTTCTTGTTGCTCTAAGTAACTTTTGACCCTTTACCTTTCCTTCTTTGTCCTTGTTCTGCTATCCATTCACTCAAACTCGTTAAGTAGGTTACTCGCTGTTTCCCTCTGCTTCTCTTGCCTTCAATATGTCCTGTGAGTGTTAAATTCTCCATGCCCTCTTTTTCTTGTTGCTCTAAGTAACTTTTTGACCCTTTACCTTCCTTCTTTGTCCTTGTTCTGCTATCCATTCACTCAAACTCCAGGTTACTCGCTGTTTCCTCTCTTCTCTTGCCTTCAATATGTCCTGTGAGTGTTAAATTCTCCATGCCTCTTTCTTGTTTCCTAAGTAACTTTTGACCCTTTTACCTTCCTTCTTTGTCCTTGTTCTGCTATCCATTCACTCAAACCTGCTGTTTCCCTCTGCTTCTTTTGCCTTCAATATGTCCTGTGAGTGTTAAATTCTCCATGCCCCTTTCTTGTTGCTCTAAGTAACTTTTGACCCTTTACCTTCCTTCTTTGTCCTTGTTCTGCTATCCATTCACTCAAACTCGTTAAGTAGGTTAATCGCTGTTTCCCTCTGCTTCTTGCCTTCAATATGTCCTGTGAGTGTTAAATTCTCCATGCCCTCTTTTCTTGTTGCTCTAAGTAACTTTTGACCTTTTGATTTTTTCTTTGTCCTTGTTCTGCTATCCATTCACTCAAACTCGTTAAGTAGGTTACTCTGCTGTTTCCCTCTGCTTTTTGCCTTCAATATGTCCTGTGAGTGTTAAATTCTCCATGCCCTCTTTCTTGTTGCTCTTAACTTTTTGACCCTTCTTCCTTCTTTGTCCTTGTTCCTATCCATTCCTCAAACTCGTTAAGTAGGTTACTCGCTGTTCCCTCTGCTTCTCTTGCCTTCAATATGTCCTGTGAGTGTTAAATTCTCCATGCCCCTTTCTTGTTGCTCTAAGTAACTTTTTTGACCCTTTACCTTCCTTTTCTTTGTCCTTGTTCTGCTATCCATTCACTCAAACTCGTTAAGTAGGTTACTTGCTGTTTCCCTCTGCTTCTTTTGCCTTCAATATGTCCTGTGAGTGTTAAATTCTCCATGCCCCTTTCTTGTTGCTCTAAGTAACTTTTGACCCTTTACCTTCTTTCTTCTTTGTCCTTGTTCTGCTATCCATTCACTCAAACTCGTTAAGTAGGTTCCTCGCTGTTTCCCTCTGCTTCTCTTGCCTTCAATATGTCCTGTGAGTGTTAAATTCTCCATGCCCTCTTTCTTGTTGCTCTAAGTAACTTTTGACCCTTTACCTTTCTTCTTTGTCCTTGTTCTGCTATCCATTCACTCAAACTCGTTAAGTAGGTTACTCGCTGTTTCCCTCTGCTTCTCTTGCCTTCAATATGTCCTGTGAGTGTTAAATTCTCCATGCCCTCTTTCTTGTTGCTCTAAGTAACTTTTTTGACCCTTTACCTTCCTTCTTTGTCCTTGTTCTGCTATCCATTCACTCAAACTCGTTAAGTAGGTTTCTCCTGTTTCCCTCTGCTTCTCTTGCCTTCAATATGTCCTGTGAGTGTTAAATTCTCCATGCCCTTTTTCTTGTTGCTCTAAGTAACTTTTTGACCCTTTACCTTTCCTCTTTGTCCTTGTTCTGCTATCCATTCACTCAAACTCGTTAAGTAGGTTACTCGCTGCTTCCCTCTGCTTCTCTTGCCTTCAATATGTCCTGTGAGTGTTAAATTCCCTATGCCCTCTTTCTTGTTGCTCTAAGTAACTTTTGACCCTTTACCTTCCTTCTTTGTCCTTGTTCTGCTATCCATTCCTCAAACTCGTTAAGTAGGTTACTCGCTGTTTCCCTCTGCTTTCTTTCAATATGTCTGTGAGTGTTAAATTCTCCTTTCTTGTTGCTTAAATTTTCCTTTACCTTCCCTTCTTTTCTTGTTCTGCTATCCATTCACTCAAACTCGTTAACTTTTGCTGTTTCCCTCTTTTCCTTGCCTTCAATTTGTCCTTGAGTGTTAAATTCTCCATGCCCCTTTCTTGTTGCTCTAAGTAACTTTTTGTTTTTTCTTCCTTCTTTTGTCCTTGTTAGTTATCCATTTCAAACTCGTTAAGTAGGTTACTCGCTGTTTCCCTCTGCTTCTCTTGCCTTCAATATGTCCTGTGAGTGTTAAATTCTCCATGCCCTCTTTCTTGTTGCTCTAAGTAACTTTTGACCCTTTACCTTCCTTCTTTGTCCTTGTTCTGCTATCCATTCACTCAAACTCGTTAAGTAGGTTACTCGCTGTTTCCCTCTGCTTCTCTTGCCTTCAATATGTCCTGTGAGTGTTAAATTCTCCATGCCCTCTTTCTTGTTGCTCTAAGTAACTTTTGACCCTTTGTCCTTCCCTTCTTTGTCCTTGTTCTGCTATCCATTCCTAAAACGTTAAGTAGGTTACTCGCTGTTTTCCTCTGCTTCTCTTTGCCTTCAATATGTCCTGTGAGTGTTAAATTCTCCATGCCCCTTTTCTTGT